GGTATACTTTACTAATATTCACTCAAGTAAACAAAAAAAACATATTAGTATATCACGAAATAAAATTGGTTTGTCATGTAAAAAAAATAAAATTAGATATTTTTCAGTAGTTATGGTCTTCTTTTATTTTTTGGTTATCAGTAGTTACAGTCTTTGTTTTGAAGAATTATACATCCAACTCATTAAAAAAAGAATAATATAAAAAGATAAAAAATTTCCATACAAGTATTTTTAAGAAAATATTTAATATAAACCTTTTAAATATATATGTATAATCAATTTAAAATATATATAAAAATTATAAATTAAAAGAGAACAAAATTATTTTTTAAAAGTATGTATAATTAATACAAAACAATTTAAATTTTAAATTTTAAAATTAAATAACAAAATTGAAAATGACAAATATTATTCGGTTAAAAAAAGTAGAAAAATGTATTCACTATAAATATGTAAATTTTAATTTAATGCATATGAAAGAAATTAAATTTTTACTCTTTTGATGTAAGAGCATAATTAACACAAAATATTTACCGGTGATTGTGATTTTTGAAGAATTATACATCCAACCATTAAATTTTATAGATACTTAATAATTGATTTTTTTGGAACATATAATGTCATAAAAATTTATATAATATTTTGCCAAAAAAGTTGTAAGGACTTATAGAGAGAAAATAGTATTAATATAGATTATTTTTAATACCAATTTTTTATTAGAAAAATATATATTATGTCAATATTCATATAAATATTATATTGCTTCTTAATTAGATTTGTCTAATATGTTGATTTTAATAAAAAATTATACATTTTTGTGCTAAGAAAAATCGCGACCTATAACTTGAAAAATCATTTTTTAAATTTTCAAAAGCTCTAAAAAATCTAATGTTTTTGAGATGGATTAGGTTAGACTTTTGTTGGATTGTTATTTCTGTGTTGTTTTGTGATGAAAATCGCTTAAAAATTTATTTTTTTAGCTTTGATGAAGCTCTCCTAGCGAAACCCGGTTTCGAGCGGGTAGACCCGCCAAAAGAAAAAAAAACTTTGCAATTAGAAATCTTAAGAAAACATAGAGGTTAGTATAAGATTGTAAAAAAGACATCATATCTATATTTCTCACTAAAAAATCTAATAAAATTTACATTAATAGAAAATTAACTAAAATCGTCATATATTTTGATATCACAAGATTTTTTTTCTTTATTTAAAATACTTGTTGAATACCACCGGATTTGACTGCACTCTAAAATAATCTTTTAAATTCTTAATCAAATATTAAGTGAATACTCTTCTTCACTCGGTCTCGTCTCGTCTACTGCTATGGCAGAACCATCCACCGCCGAAACCACCTCCGCCAGCGATGCTCATCCGCCGGCGCCAGCTTCCTCGTCGCTCAACGTCCTCGGATTAACGATTGACGAGAACAAGAAGCCTTCTCCCAAGTTCTTGGACGAGCCTGAAGACTCCAACATCCAAGCGGTTGGTTTGATCCCCATTCCCGATTTCTCTTTTCTCTCTTTCTCGGCGAGAAATTGACGGTTTATGGTTTTGAATTTATGTGCAGGTTTCGTCCGGCGACACTCCGTACACGTCAGCTACCACCTTCGAAGAACTGAATCTCTCACCGGAGCTTTTGAACGGACTCTACGTGGAGATGAAGTTCCATAAACCTAGTAAGATCCAAGCCGTAACCTTGCCTATGATCTTGAATCCTCCGAATAGGGATTTGGTCGCACACGCGCATAACGGTTCCGGAAAAACCACGTGTTTCCTTCTTGGTATGCTTAGTCGAGTTGATCCAAAGTTGCAGGCTCCTCAAGCTTTCTGCATTTGCCCAACCAGGGAGTTGGCTATTCAGGTAAGGTTCTAAGACATTGCTTTTTTAAATCGACATATAATCTTATTCTTTCATGGATTAAATAACCCATAACTATGGTTGGAAGAGCATTACTTTGGAGTCAGATTCTGTTCAAGCTTTAAGCTATCTTACCAAGTAATCTTGCTTGATCCTGCTTGATAATCTTATTCTACCATATAATCCTGCTTGATCCTGGACAAGTCCCAGCTGATGTTTAGTTACTACTGTTCGATCTGCTATGGCTAACAGTAGTGCCTTTTACGCTTTCTGTTTTTTGCTGTCTTTGTAGTTTGCTTTTAGGTTCTGTTTTTGTCTTGTGGGGCTATGCCCCATGTAATTACCAAAAATAAAATAAAAAAAATAACCCATAACTAAGAATGCAATAGCTGGTGGCCCCATACTTCCGGAAGAAAAGCTATATCCCTCCAAAGGGATATCTGATCGTGAGCCCTAGAAGTTTTTATTTTTTCTTCTTTTTTTTTGGAAAAGCTCAGCAATGCCCTGCGTGGTTTACTAGAATCACCTATATCCCGTTGTTTTTTTTTATCACATATGTCTATTTGCAAAAAGTTATGTTTTTTATCACACATGCAGCTGTAATTTTTTTTTCACAAACCACATGGGTATATGTGATAAAAAAAAATCACAAGGCATAGGTAATTCTAAAACAAACCATTTACTACAAAATCACCTATGCCTTTGATTATTTTTTATCACTCGTGTGGTTTGCGAAAGTATATGTTTTTTTATCTGCTCCCGTGATTTTTTACTTTTACAAACCATGGAACATATGTCATAGGTGATTCTAAAGCAAACCAGCTTCGGTGAACTTTCCTGTTTGTTTTTTTTTTATTCGTTTGTTAATCACTGTTATCGAACTTTTCCTCGTGATTTTTTTATTTTTTACAAATCAATGGGACATATGTGATAAAAAACATTGGGCCATATATGATTCTAAAACAAACCGGCATTGGTGAACTTTCCTCTCTTTTTTTATTCGTTTGTTAATCACTGTTATCGAACATTGTGATTTGTGACTGTGTTAGTTGTAGCTTGATGATTATTGTGTTGTGTGGCAGAATACTGAAGTTCTCCGAAAGATGGGAAAGTACATGGGGATTAGCTCAGAATGTGCTATACCAGCAGACAGTAGTGATGCTTTGCCGATAGCGAAACGGGCACCGATTATGGCTCAAGTGGTTATTGGGACCCCTGGCACGATTAATAAGTGGATGGCTTATAAGAAACTTGGGGTGACAAGGTTGAAGATTCTTGTTTTTGATGAGGCTGATCAAATGCTTGCTCAGGTAATTCTATCGTGATAATGAAATGTTGTTTATTTAGAATTTGAGGTTTCATTGTCCTTGGACTAGGCAAGCACATAGCCTTATCATTCTCCCTGAGCTTATTATTGTTACAATCTTTTGGGGAGTTGGCAACACCCTTGTTTTTTAATAGAATAAGTTACAATTAAATGGTAAGTTGTGACTCTCCTCCTTTAATGATGGATAAAGAGGAAGAGTGCACTAGTAGACCGCTTGTTTTAACCATAGTTTTAAATAGCGGGTAGCGGCCGACCCCAAAAACGCTATAGCGGTATAGCGGGTAGCGGTAAAACCGCTACTGTGAAGTCCATATAAATACTTATAATAAATTATACCACAAATTAATTTTTTCATTTTATTCTCTTGATTATTGACATTACATTCTAACATTTTTTATTTTTAATAAAACAAACCCTTATATAAAAAAATATTCTTTAAACTAATACTTTATCATCTAATTCTAATTATATATCAAAATTTTATATCTTTTCTACACTTTTTTAAATTATATATCACATAAAAAATTATGTGATTCTAATTTGAAAAATTTCAAAAGTTTAAAAATAAACCCTTTTTTAAAAACAAACCCTTTTCTAATTTAATTTATATCTTGTTTAAATTATATATTTACAAGTTTTCAAAAACTTTTTTTAAAAGATTTAAAATAATTATTAAAATGGAGGAATTGAAAGCATATTATCAACAATGAAAAAAAAAGAAGAGGAAACGTGTAGATATAGACTTATATCTGAAAAGCAGATGTGTGTGACAGCCAAAGAGAAGTGTACGGGACTGTAAGGAGTGTGACAGCAAAGAGATGTGTACGTGGCAGGTGTGCATGTGACATGATGACTGATTCAAACTTAAAGTTCTTTTTAAAAAAAAAATTGGCTGGCTTTTAAAGTTAAATATCTATTTTACCCTTCATTTATCCTTCCTTTTTCCCGTTATACCCTTAAATGATAATCTAATTTAATAAACACAGCCACCGTACTTTCAGCGTTTCGTCTTCTCCATTAACGTCTGCAACTCTTCTTCCTTTCCCTGTAGCGGCTTAATAACGCTGTAAGAGCTGTTGGCCGCCACTGCCGCCACCGTACGCTACCGGCGTCTACCGGAAACTGTGGCGTCGCGGTTCAAAAGTTGCGGCTGGGTGCCGCAACCCGCACCAGAACCGCTATCGCGCGCTATAGCGCCGCTATTTCAATCATAGGTTTTAACTCATGATAATATATATCTTTTTCTAGTTAGTAATTACTCTCTAGTAAGTATTCTAGAGATCCTAGGACCTAGTTTTAGGTTCAGGGAATTGTTATGGTTTACTGAATTAGTATTGTGATTTTCTTTTGTTTTTTAAAGCAGAGGTATTCGCAGTTTGGTTTCTAAATATGTTGTGCCCTAACTTGCTTAATTACTGTAAACTTTGCAGGATGGATTTAAAGATGATTCCCTGAGGATAATGAAAGGAATAGAAAAAGTCAATTCTAACTGTCAGGTTTGTTGAACTCTTTCTTGCGTAGTGTGCTTGTGTGCATGGCATTTTCATCCATCCAAGAAATTCTGGCATAGACTTAGTCTACAAGTTGCATAGCCTAAGCTAAGTACACACTTGACACATCGTCATTTTACATTAAATAACTACATGATATATGTGTCAATCTACTACTTTTAAAATGATAATGTATTAGTTTATGTTTTGGTTTTATTTATATGACTTGTGTAGATCAAATCTATGCAAGAATTTATCAATCCATAGGGACAGCACATCCATGTATACATGTTGTTTAAATTACCATCACCCATCCTTCAACCTGTTCGGGTAGAACACCTGCCAATTCATGGAAGGTCATGCTCTCCCTGAGCCCTTGTGCAACTTGTGAAGTATATTTAAAAGAGTAAAGTGATTCATTCATCTTATAAGAACAGAAAAAAGTATGAGGAATTTTTTACGTAGTACATCATGCTCAATCAAATAATATTGCATAGATATGAAGATTGAATGTTAATTTGATTGATGCTAATGGTTTGCTATAATTTAATTTGAATCTATGTAGAAGGGAATTATAACTGTTCCTTGTTATTTTTGTGCACCATAACCATTTCGTCTGTACTTAAATGAACATTTTACCAAGATTGGTTGCTTTGTATGTGATTCAAATGTTGTGTGTGCTTGTATGTGATGTAGTTGTTTTTTTAGTTTCTTTTCTTATCTAAGAAGATTTTGATTGACTTGTGTATGTCTAGGTTCTTCTGTTTTCTGCTACATTGAATGACATTGTCCAGAATTTTGTTTCGAGGACAGTCAAGCAGGATTATAATACACTTTTTGTGAAGGAACTATCTTTAGATGCCGTAAAGCAATATAAAGTTCATTGTCCTGATGAACTCTCTAAGATTGAAATGAGAAAAGATTACATACTCGAAATAGGAGAGAATCTGGGGCAAACTATAATATTTGTGCGCACAAGAAATAGTGCAAAAATGTTACATAAATCACTTGTCGAAATAGGAGAGAATCTGGGGCAAACTATAATATTTGTGCGCACAAGAAATAGTGCAAAAATGTTACATAAATCACTTGTTGTCGCTGTCGCTCCTGTTGTCGCTCCCGTCGCCCCAAGTAAGGGAGTCGACAAGGGAAAAAGGAAAGTGGTGAACATTGTTAAAAGGAAGGTCCGGTCTGCAGCGGATATTCCTGCCGAGGAGCTTGCTAGGAGGACTGGCGGCCCGGTTATTAAGGATGTGCAGGAGAATGCCCAGAGTTTGGCGGTCAACCCTTCTGCACCTGAAGTTATTCCTCCTAAACCAACGTATTCTGGAAGGAAGAGGGTTGCTAGCGAGGATTTAAGCTCGCCTAAAGGAGCTAAAACGATTAGGGTGGAGCCGACTGAGTCTGGTCAATCAGGTGGTAGTCTCTCGTTTGCCATGGAGAGTTTCTCGGACGCCCCTGTTGTCGCTCCCGTCGCCCCAAGTAAGGGAGTCGACAAGGGAACCCGGGAGGCTACTCTTGCTATTGACAACCGTTGTTCTACCCAGCATGATGACTTGGTACAGAAAGGGCGCAAGATTGAGTCCTTAACGGCCGAGATCAGGCGGTTGGGTAAGGAAATTAGTGACCTGAAGGCAACCAATAAAACTTTATCTGACAGCAACCAAGAACTGAAGGGGGCTAGTGACGTGGTGCAACGCCTATCGCAGGAGAATGATGATAATCTTGATAATCTTATTCTAAGTAATCTTGCTTGATCCTGCTTGATAATCTTATTCTACCATATAATCCTGCTTGATCCTGGACAAGTCCCAGCTGATGTTTAGTTACTACTGTTCGATCTGCTATGGCTAACAGTAGTGCCTTTTACGCTTTCTGTTTTTTGCTGTCTTTGTAGTTTGCTTTTAGGTTCTGTTTTTGTCTTGTGGGGCTATGCCCCTTGTAATTACCAAAAAAAAAAAAAAAAATAACCCATAACTAAGAATGCAATAGCTGGTGGCCCCATACTTCCGGAAGAAAAGCTATATCCCTCCAAAGGGATATCTGATCGTGAGCCCTAGAAGTTTTTATTTTTTCTTCTTTTTTTTTTTGGAAAAGCTCAGCAATGCCCTGCGTGGTTTACTAGAATCACCTATATCCCGTTGTTTTTTTTATCACATATGTCTATTTGCAAAAAGTTATGTTTTTTATCACACATGCAGCTGTAATTTTTTTTTCACAAACCACATGGGTATATGTGATAAAAAAAAATCACAAGGCATAGGTAATTCTAAAACAAACCATTTACTACAAAATCACCTATGCCTTTGATTATTTTTTATCACTCGTGTGGTTTGCAAAATTATATGTTTTTTTATCTGCTCCCGTGATTTTTTACTTTTACAAACCATGGAACATATGTGATAGGTGATTCTAAAGCAAACCAGCTTCGGTGAACTTTCCTGTTTGTTTTTTTTTTATTCGTTTGTTAATCACTGTTATCGAACTTTTCCTCGTGATTTTTTTATTTTTTACAAATCAATGGGACATATGTGATAAAAAACATTAGGCCATAGATGATTCTAAAACAAACCGGCATTGGTGAACTTTCCTCTCTTTTTTTATTCGTTTGTTAATCACTGTTATCGAACATTGTGATTTGTGACTATGTTAGTTGTAGCTTGATGATTATTGTGTTGTGTGGCAGAATACTGAACTCCGAAAGATGACATACCAGCAGACAGTAGTGATGCTTTGCCGATAGCGAAACGGGCACCGATTATGGCTCAAGTGGTTATTGGGACCCCTGGCACGATTAATAAGTGGATGGCTTATAAGAAACTTGGGGTGACAAGGTTGAAGATTCTTGTTTTTGATGAGGCTGATCAAATGCTTGCTCAGGTAATTCTATCGTGATAATGAAATGTTGTTTATTTAGAATTTGAGGTTTCATTGTCCTTGGACTAGGCAAGCACATAGCCTTATCATTCTCCCTGAGCTTATTATTGTTACAATCTTTTGGGGAGTTGGCAACACCCTTGTTTTTTAATAGAATAAGTTACAATTAAATGGTAAGTTGTGACTCTCCTCCTTTAATGATGGATAAAGAGGAAGAGTGCACTAGTAGACCGCTTGTTTTAACCATAGTTTTAAATAGCGGGTAGCGGCCGACCCCAAAAACGCTATAGCGGTATAGCGGGTAGCGGTAAAACCGCTACTGTGAAGTCCATATAAATACTTATAATAAATTATACCACATATATTAATGCTATATAAATGCTAAAAGATAAGAAATCACCCAAAATAGGAGGAAATAAGTAATGAAAAGTATGATACTACACATTCAAAACAAGGATTAAAGGGAACATAAAGGAAGCAACATACTAGTTCATTGAAGGAAACTAAATTAATAATATTCTAGGAACATAAAGGATCCAAGTAGAGTCAAATACAAATTGCTCTATCAAAGTCAAGAAGGAAAAGAACTAATCAGAATTATCATCAAACATTTCTTCAAAGCCTTGTTCTTCTCCACCCTCACTTTCTTCACTAGTGTTAAATTTGTAGATTTGTTCATCCTCATCTTCTATTTCTTGGTTATCACCTTCTTCAATCTGTTCATCCCTTATTCTCTAATTTAATAAACACAGCCACCGTACTTTCAGCGTTTCGTCTTCTCCATTAACGTCTGCAACTCTTCTTCCTTTCCCTGTAGCGGCTTAATAACGCTGTAAGAGCTGTTGGCCGCCACTGCCGCCACCGTACGCTACCGGCGTCTACCGGAAACTGTGGCGTCGCGGTTCGAAAGTTGCGGCTGGGTGCCGCAACCCGCACCAGAACCGCTATCGCGCGCTATAGCGCCGCTATTTCAATCATAGGTTTTAACTCATGATAATATATATCTTTTTCTAGTTAGTAATTACTCTCTAGTAAGTATTCTAGAGATCCTAGGACCTAGTTTTAGGTTCAGGGAATTGTTATGGTTTACTGAATTAGTATTGTGATTTTCTTTTGTTTTTTAAAGCAGAGGTATTCGCAGTTCGGGTTCTAAATATGTTGTGCCCTAACTTGCTTAATTACTGTAAACTTTGCAGGATGGATTTAAAGATGATTCCCTGAGGATAATGAAAGGAATAGAAAAAGTCAATTCTAACTGTCAGGTTTGTTGAACTCTTTCTTGCGTAGTGTGCTTGTGTGCATGGCATTTTCATCCATCCAAGAAATTCTGGCATAGACTTAGTCTACAAGTTGCATAGCCTAAGCTAAGTACACACTTGACACATCGTCATTTTACATTAAATAACTACATGATATATGTGTCAATCTACTACTTTTAAAATGATAATGTATTAGTTTATGTTTTGGTTTTATTTATATGACTTGTGTAGATCAAATCTATGCAAGAATTTATCAATCCATAGGGACAGCACATCCATGTATACATGTTGTTTAAATTACCGTCACCCATCCTTCAACCTGTTCGGGTAGAACACCTGCCAATTCATGGAAGGTCATGCTCTCCCTGAGAAGTATGAGGAATTTTTTACGTAGTACATCATGCTCAATCAAATAATATTGCATAGATATGAAGATTGAATGTTAATTTGATTGATGCTAATGGTTT